AGTGGGTTCTCCCGGGTCTCCCGGTTGCCCTGGTTCACCAGGCCCTCCAGGATCGCCCGGACCTCCAGGACCACCAGGTAAAGAAGTCTTATGGGGCCCCTCCTGTGCACACTGGCTAATGACAGATGTGTGCACATGAGAGGCAGTAAACCTTCCAGTTGTCATGAGCTAGCTTTTCAATGGTGTTTCATTTTACTTACCTGTGGGAAAAACGAAATGAAACAAAGTGTGGTGGAATAGCTCTGAATGTGGCAAAATCTTAACCTAGGTTTCCCAGGGAGTAGAGTGAGAGGCGGAGAGCAGGCAGTGAAGCAGGGAAGGAGAGCTGGTTATGAATTGGCCTTACCAAAATCCCAAGAGAAGGATGAAGGAAAAGGGATTGCAGTATGGCCATCTCCCCTGAGGGGAAATTTCTCAATTTCTCTCTCTCCATCTCTCTGTCTTTCTGGTAAGCTCATGCTCCCTATAGCAAAAATCTCTCTAAAAGAAAAAGAATGATGTTAACCCTGCTGTGTCTCAGTTTCTGCATGGTGATGAATCACTTAATAATTTAAGCTGTTTGCAAGGTGGACATTTGAGACTTTCCCCCTTCTCACTGCCATGCCATTTTAGGATGGGGATGGGTTTTGTCCCAGCTGGCATGCTCCCCTCCCAGAAGGTGCCTGCCTCCCCTTCCATGCCCTATCTAAGACGTGCCTGCCTCCCCTTCCATGCCCTTTTGTATCTAAGACAATCGCCAGGAATAAAATCCAATCACAGCTGTCTCTCTTTCTCATCTGGGGCATGAGACATGCTCTAGTCACTAATAAAAATATCTATGCAGTAACCTCTATGGAAGAATTGCTCTTGTGTCTTCTCAAATGAAACGATTCCAGTGCATCCCAAACTTTCTGTCCCTTGTAATAAATGACAGGAATTATCTTGTGGGAGTGGAGTGTTCTGCACTGTGCTTCCTAACAAGGTCGCAGGTGAAGGAAGTAACAACATTCACTTTCTATTTTGCATGCTTTCTATCCCTCTCAGTTGTGCAACTTTTATAAATAAGAATGTGTTTGCAGTTGGAAAATAACTATATATTTATCAAGATAAATTTAAAATATAATGATGATTATTTTCTCCAAGGGTCATCAAGACCTGGCCTCAGAGGAGCCCCTGGATGGCCAGGCTTAAAAGGAAGTAAAGGGGTTCTCCCGGGTCTCCCGGTTGCCCTGGTTCACCAGGCCCTCCAGGATCGCCCGGACCTCCAGGACCACCAGGTAAAGAAGTCTTATGGGGCCCCTCCTGTGCACACTGTCTAATGACAGATGTGTGCACATGAGAGGCAGTAAACCTTCCAGTTGTCATGAGCTAGCTTTTCAATGGTGTTTCATTTTACTTACCTGTGGGAAAAACGAAATGAAACAAAGTGTGGTGGAATAGCTCCGAATGTGGCAAAATCTTAACCTAGGTTTCCCAGGGAGTAGAGTGAGAGGCGGAGAGCAGGCAGTGAAGCAGGGAAGGAGAGCTGGTTATGAATTGGCCTTAGCCATGTGCAGCTTGCATGCTCAAACCCAGGAGACATCTTCTACAAAAGCTCCTCTCAGATAATCCATCCCAGGGGAGAAACAGGCTAGAATTGACCCTCACCCCCAACACTCACATTCATGCTATGCTTGCATGGAAATTGTTCTAATCCTGGGGCAGCTCATGCATGGCATCGGCAGGGCAGCCCTAGGGCAGGAGGTCAGAGGTGTGTGGCTCGAGGAGAGGCAGGATGCTGACAGGGTGCAGAGCCCACAGAGCTGTGGCCTGGAGGATCTGAAGTGGTGCTCAGAGACTCCGTCATAGGCCTTTTCTTTCCAGCCTCCCACAGAGCTGGCCAGCATCCCGTGCTGACTCGTGGGTACAATAGGTCCTCCCGGACATGATGATCGCTGGGATTTTCAAGAATCTTTCCTGGAGGTCCTGCGTGTTATACTCTGCTCTCCTAAGGGGGATAAGACTTTTCTGTCTGTAGGGACTGGACAGTGGCGTGGCAGTAATGCCACCATCTGCAGAGATGGCCCCAGCAGAGAGGTCCTGACCTTATATTCTGAGGTCTCCTAGTGCTTACGGGGTGTTCAAGTGTCTGTGATCAGGCCAACTAAGGCAGGGGTGCATCGTGGCATGAG